TGATAATCGTAGATAAAATTAAGTCTTTGTGTAGATTAATATTTATAAATTTGAAATCCTCCATCTACTTTAGTTGTCATACCACAAATATAATATCCATAATACTTTAAAGCATATTTATTCTGATTAGTAATCATAAAATATTCAGTGTTCGGCATTTTTGGATTGTTTTTTTTATTTGTTAAGTCTTTACAAACCATATTGTTTGGAATAGGAATGTTTTGACTTGATTCGTCCGAAAAAAAGACCATAGCGCAGCCAGGATTCAACAAGGCTTGAAAATTTATTTTAAAGTTATTGTATACAAGCAAGCAACTTTGGGGAGGTAAAAAATTAATGATTTGAATGGGATACATTTCAGTAAATTATTAATCAATTTTTGTCGAGATTATTGATGTAGTGAGGAGTTTTTTTGGTTTTTATCGTTAAAAATATCATTTTTAAGTAAGTATTAGACACATGAATTCTGCAAGAAACCGTCGATATATGGTTATTTTTTTAAAAAAAAAAAAAATATTGAGCTTTATCTTTTAATCAATAATCGCATATCAAGTAAATCTTAAATAATTCTATTTTAGATTTTGGCGTCGGCTTTTCTTACATAATTGTTTCATTTGATATATTGAGAATAGTCACACATTTAAGTTTTTTGTCGGTATGATTTACACATGTTTACGTTTGTAAGAAACCTTTATTTATACTAGTGAACATTTTTTATCTCTTCACTATCAAATTATTTTTATTTATGTGTTCATATGTAAACTCTTTGTTAAATATCTAAATTTGATAGTTTATATTTTCTAATTGCTTCAATAAGTCTGTTCCACAATCATCTTTATGTTTACGTCTTCAGACAAATTTTTTCTTTTTAATATCGAATTTTTAATAAACAACTTCATATCCATTTCGATTTCCAGTTTTTCGATCGTGTTCAAGTTTAAAAGCTATAGCTTGTTGCTTAGTTTGTTCGTTAGTTCTTTTTTTGTTAATATAGAATTTTTTATATTTTCGTTTGTTATTTTCATAATAACTGAAAATCCAACGATTTAAAGATTTTTCAAAACAAATTCTGTTATATCCAGAAGTATTATGATTTCGTAATTTACAATTGAGTAGATTTTCTTGTAGTGTTGTTTGTCGAAGATTGCATTCACGATTATCTAATCCACAATGATTTATATGATCGATCATTTTAAATTTAGGTTTAATTAGACAATGAAGTTGTGAATTTTTTCTATTATCTTTTGTCCAAATATAGTATGTATTATGTTTTTTGTTTTTCTAAGAATACCAAGTAAAATTTTTCAAGAGATGAAAATTCTCTTTATCGAGAAGAAAAGTGATTCCAGGTTTCTGGGTTTTTACTTCTAAATAGATAGTAAAATTAATTTTCACAAGCCGATATTCATTCAGTTTAAGTTTTGGTTTATCAAAATTCTTGTATTTTTCCTAATCTGTCAGGATTTCGAAATCTTTGAATTTTTCTTGCCAATTCGACATTTTTTAATAAAACTTCAACTAATTTTTTTGAAGTATTTATATTTTATTTTAAGTTATAATTTTTAATTGCTTCAATAAAACCTCCCCATAAATTCGTAGAATGTTTTCTTCGAAATACAAAAAACATAATACATACTATATTTGGACAAAAGATAATAGAAAAAATTCACAACTTCATTGTCTAATTAAACCTAAATTTAAAATGATCGATCATATAAATCATTGTGGATTAGATAATCGTGAATGCAATCTTCGACAAACAACACTACAAGAAAATCTACTCAATTGTAAATTACGAAATCATAATACTTCTGGATATAACAGAATTTGTTTTGAAAAATCTTTAAATCGTTGGATTTTCAGTTATTATGAAAATAACAAACGAAAATATAAAAAATTCTATATTAACAAAAAAAGAACTAACGAACAAACTAAGCAACAAGCTATAGCTTTTAAACTTGAACACGATCGAAAAACTGGAAATCGAAATGGATATGAAGTTGTTTATTAAAAATTCGATATTAAAAAGAAAAAATTTGTCTGAAGACGTAAACATAAAGATGATTGTGGAACAGACTTATTGAAGCAATTAGAAAATATAAACTATCAAATTTAGATATTTAACAAAGAGTTTACATATGAACACATAAATAAAAATAATTTGATAGTGAAGAGATAAAAAATGTTCACTAGTATAAATAAAGGTTTCTTACAAACGTAAACATGTGTAAATCATACCGACAAAAAACTTAAATGTGTGACTATTCTCAATATATCAAATGAAACAATTATGTAAGAAAAGCCGACGCCAAAATCTAAAATAGAATTATTTAAGATTTACTTGATATGCGATTATTGATTAAAAGATAAAGCTCAATATTTTTTTTTTTTTTAAAAAAATAACCATATATCGACGGTTTCTTGCAGAATTCATGTGTCTAATACTTACTTAAAAATGATATTTTTAACGATAAAAACCAAAAAAACTCCTCACTACATCAATAATCTCGACAAAAATTGATTAATAATTTACTGAAATGTATCCCATTCAAATCATTAATTTTTTACCTCCCCAAAGTTGCTTGCTTGTATACAATAACTTTAAAATAAATTTTCAAGCCTTGTTGAATCCTGGCTGCGCTATGGTCTTTTTTTCGGACGAATCAAGTCAAAACATTCCTATTCCAAACAATATGGTTTGTAAAGACTTAACAAATAAAAAAAACAATCCAAAAATGCCGAACACTGAATATTTTATGATTACTAATCAGAATAAATATGCTTTAAAGTATTATGGATATTATATTTGTGGTATGACAACTAAAGTAGATGGAGGATTTCAAATTTATAAATATTAATCTACACAAAGACTTAATTTTATCTACGATTATCA